TATAATGGCGGTGTAACCGCGAGAGTGATGAGATGGCGGTGTAACCGCGAGAAACATAAATACACTTATGTTTCAGAACAGGTTTGATGCTAAACTGAATGTTTGGAATGTATATTGTTGAATGAGATTATACACTCACTAGACCTTATGGTCTAACGCTCAAATGTTGGACTAACCTGTTTTGCATGTCAACGTACTCTGAAAGATAAAGGCAAGGGAAAAGTCTGAATGATGATATTAGTTTGTGTGCATATGTATTAATGATACATTTTGATAGTTCATRTTTTGTAATAATACTATTTGAGTATTATGAGTATGATGATGTGAATTACATGTAATTGGAATGTGAGGGTTGTTACAGTTGGTATCAGAGCCTTAGTTTAAGRGATCTGGGTATTTGCGAAATACTTAGACTTAAACTAGAGGTGTGGAAAGTTAAGATAATAGGTTTCACTGGGTCTATTAACATAAGAATATGTTATAGTTGTAACTATTATGAGAAAGATAGATTATATATGATTGGTATAATCTGAGTTATGAGTTGGCATGAGGATAAATGTGTTATTATGTTATGATTATGAGAATAATCATGTGTGTTTAAATGTGGCAGAAAAGGTTACATATTGAGAAATGGCAGATAATCCCAATCAATCGGAAAGGACCTTTGCTGGCTATGGAAAAGGTCGGGGAAGAAGGAATGTTATGCGAGAAGAGAATCCAGAAAATGTAATTGAAACACGAAGTCGTAGTAGAGGACGAGGAAGARGGCGAGGTACTAGACAAGAAACTCGTGGGGAACAGGAATTTTCGGCTCAAGAAAGTTCAATGTCTGGCCGAAGTCGAGGAAGAGCTAGGGGTGGACATAATGTTTCTGACCCTGGATATATTACTCAAGATATGTTGGCAGCTGAGCTGGGAAAATTTCAGGAGAGTTTGGTAAATTTGTTGAAACATACAAACCAAACTGATCCAAATGTGGAAAGATATTCTGAGCAAGAAGAAGTCGGAGCTAGTACACCGGTAACTGGTACATATGTACCTATTACTGCGTCCTCAGAACAGAAGGGAGGAGATATCAAGATGTTTATTGCGTGTAAACCTCCTAAATTTTCTGGTGAACGTGATCCTGTTAAAGCTATGTGTTGGCTTAAGGAGATCGAACTAAGTCTGCAAATCAGTAAAAGTGTAGAATAAGATAAAGTTATGTTTGCTGTATCTCGTTTAAGATCAAGTGCTTTGTATTGGTGGGAAGTTTTGTCTAGTTCAGACCTGAATATTCTGAAAACTATGGTTTGGGAAGAATTTGTGGTAAAGTTTAAGATGCAGTATTGTCCTGAAGCTGCAGTTCGAAAGTTGGAAGATGATTTCCTTCG